AAGTTGAAAGACAAGTATTCCTTCTTGGGCTGGTCTCGCTCTTGCGTTGCCTTTGCAAGCGCCTCGATCGCCTTCGCCAGGTGCTCTGGCGAGGTCCAGGTGCCACGCTCAACGCTGCCAGCCGGGCCGTTGCTCTGAGACCCTGCTGCCCGAGCTTGCACTTTAAGAGCAGCCGTGATGTGCGCAGGGGTGAGCCGCACATCTTTCCACTCCGATCCCTCAGGGTCGTCTTGGAACGGCGTGGTGTTTGCGCGGATACCTTCGATGATGAAAGTGCGCATCTGTGGGTCCGCGAAGTCCGACGGCGCTGCTGAGCCCATCTGTTCGGACATCACTCGGGCGACGCTGGCATAAAACACCTCGTCGTGGCTGATTGGCTCGTTTGCGTCCGCAACGAAGTGGAGCCACTCTTCGATGGCACTGCTCGACAACTTCAGCCACTTGCCTTCTGGAACCTTAGCGATCAAAGACTGCACCTTTCCTGACTCAAGAGGCATGATGCGGTGTCCCCGAATGCTACAGCAGGTGGTGTGTGAGAGCGTGGACGCAAAGAGCAACCAATCACTCTGAGCCCAGACGACTCCGGAAGAGCCAATGCATGAACGCCTGGAGCCATTGCAACACGACTGACACGGCCATTCTTTCTGTGGGACATCGGCGCACCACCGTTTCAGCCTCCTGAGCACCCCCCACCTACGTCCAGCAGCCAGTTTTCCGATCGCGCCCAGCTGTCGCAACGGCACGTCGGCCGCTTGAGCCCCAGCACGAAGGAAGGAAGGGGAGAGAGTCCTCCGCTCCGCTCCGCCTTCCCTGGATGCAGATTCGCACAGCTCTCGCTGCCGCACATCCCGGCAACCCCCCTTTGACTTCCATCGCGGCCAGGGGGGCCACTCGGGTCAGCTTGGGGCGAAACCATGCAAGCTACAGCAGTGCCACGCCGATCCCAGTCGAACCCCTTTGACCGCTCAGCGGCCAGGGGAACTACATGGGTCTCCCTGCTCCTCCCCCTCCGCCAGGCCAGAGTGAGTAGGGAGTTATTTTCAGCATACCGAGGCCTATTTTGGCCAAGTGGCAGCACGCGAGGGGGCTTCCGCTCATCCCACGCTAATGCCGGGGGGCGTCGTCGCCCTGAGAATTTTCGGACTGCCCGGAAATTGCGCCTAAGAAATCCGTCCGTAGCGGAACGAATGGCCAGTGGCCTGAGCCCAATTTTCACGAGCTACACCAGAATTTAATTCTGAGTTCTCTGGTGAAAGGGCGTCAGCATCGATATTCCGATTACGTGCCGTTTGGGACGCGGGGCCCCCGGGGTCGGTCGAGGACGGGCGTGCTGCACAAGTGCAAAGCACCCCCGCCCCCGTTGTGTGCAGGTGGGGGGTTAGCCAATGCCCCCCCATCAAGGACTAGCTTCTGCCGCCTGCACACATCCGACCCCGAGTGCCCCAGAGTGTCCGTAGCCACTCCTTCTAGCTCGTGCGGGGCCGCGAAATCACGCCCAGGACGATTCTCGTGCAGCCGTCCTCTGACATGCTCCCGTGCCCCCAGGAGCGCGAATTTGCTCTGATTGCGAACCTGGGCAGTGCCACGACGCAGAAGTGTGCTCTGAATGCAATTCTGGGCGCGCGGACGCCTCGGAGCACGAGCGCTCCGATTGCGAATCTGGGCGCGCATCGGCGCCAGAACGCACAAATGAGCTCAGACTGCAAGCGCTGGCGCCCAGGCGCGCGAATTCACGCTGAGAGTGCGAATCTGAGCGCGCTTGCGCTAGAATACAAGGTTTGCCCTCCAGATGCAATTCTCGGCGCACCAGTCCCGAAAGGCGAAGGTTTCCCTCCGACGGCACTTCTGGGCGTGAGGGCGCCAGATTGTGCAAATTCAGCCTCAGCATGCATCCCTGGGCGCGCTAGAGTCAGAATGCGCAAGTCGCGCCCAGAATGCAATTTGGGGTGCGCTGGCGGCAGAGTGCGCAAATTCGGCCTCAGAATGCATTTCTGGGCGCGCTAGCGCCGAAAGCGCCGGTTCGCCTCTTCGGCGCGCCAGCGCGAGATTGCGCAGATTCGAGCTCCGATTGAAACCCTGCCCGCTCCAACGCCGGATTGCGCGGAGTCCAGCTCTGATTGCAATTCGGGGCGTGCGAACGCCAGATTGCGCAGAGTCGGGGCCCGAATGCAATTCTGAGCGCCCTGGCGCCAGAATGCGCGGATTAGAACTCGGAATGCCATTCTGAGCGAGCTGGCGACAGATTCCGCAGGTTCGCGCCCCGATTGCAATTCTGGGCGGGCCAGCGCGAAAGTGTGCAGATTTGCGCCCGGACAGCACCTGTTGGCGCGCTAGCGCCAGAATGCGCGATTGTGCGCACAGATACGGGCGCTGTACCAGCGAGAAACGGGCAGCCCTGCCAGGGTTGCCGGCGAGCCAGCCCAGCAGGCCCGCAGGAGAGACATGCGCGGGCACACGTCGAGGAGGCGCCAGCAAGGGTGCGGCCTGCAAGGGCACGAGACCAGGTGTTTCAGCCAGGGCAGGTACACTCCGGGCAGACTGGCGCCAGAATGAGCGCATTCGGAATGCAATGCGCAAGTTTGCGCCCTGACCGCAATTGCAGGGATCTGCTGCGATTGCACTCCTGGACGCGCCGGCGCCAGATTGTGCAGAATCGCGCGCAGAATGCAATTCTGGGCGTGCTGGCGCGAGAACGACCCCAGCGCTTGCGAGGCGCACCAGCATGCGACGAGGAAGGCGCTGGCCAGCAAGGGCGCGGGCCTGGGGTATGGCAGCCAGGCCAGGGACCCACTTGTGCACAGCACTGGCCAGCAAGGGCGCAGGCCAGAGCATGGCAGCCAGGCCAGGGACCCTGCACTTTGGCGACGAGGAGCAGAGAGTGCATGTGGCGACGAGGGAGCGCGGCGAGTGTGGCCACCAGGACGGCATGCGACGAGGAAGGCGCTGGCCGGCAAGGGCGCGGGCCGGGGTATGGCAGCAAGGCCAGGGACCCGCAGAGAAAGGGCGCTGGCCAGCAAGGGCACGGGCCGGGGTGTGGCAGCAAGGCCAGGGACCCACTGAAAGGAGGCACTGGCCAGCACTGGCCAACGACGAAGGCGATGACAAACAACACCACGGGCGCTGCGAACAGCACCTGGCCCACTATGTGGACCACTGGGGGCTTGCAAAGACCCCCCGGTGGAGCGAGTGCACCCCGCAGGGCGCTTGCTCCGCGGCGGCCGTGGTGCCGGGAACTTGCTATCCCGCCCCCGAGCCGGGCGGTGCCCCGATCGGCCTCCGGAGTTGTCGAAGACCACCGCTGCTCCGAGTTGGAGCCAACCAGGCCTTGGAAGAAATCCGCTGCTCCGTCGGGAGCCCAAGCCGTGACTGCCCACGAGTTTACGTACACGGTTAAAGCCATCAACCGATGAAACCACCAACCGGTTTACATCAGGCGGGGCTTTAGATTTTCCTCCCCATCGAAACCTTTGGTTTAGGGGGTATTAAAACGTAGATCCTCGAAAACTTCGATCCTCGACCTCCGAGCGCCGCCGCCCGGTGGGCGAACGGGCGAGACGAAACAGAACGTGTGCACCCTGCCGCCGCAAGGGGAGGGGCCTGTCCACCAGGGCCGGCGGGAAAGTTCTGGGCCCACCGTTGCCCTCTGGCGCGACAGACGAGAACGGCAGGATAGGGGGAGATGAAGGGAAACTGGGACACACAAATAAATATACACAAAGGACCATATTCCCCATATGTTCCCATATCTTCTGGGTTTCTGTCTTCCCCCCCACTTCCCAGATTTTCCCATGTTTTCAGGGGGAATCGACGATGAAGTGTGTCTGTGTGTATTTTCCCCTCCCAGGGAGAGAAGAAAGGACAGGGACAGTTTGTGCCCACTGGGTGGCACGGGAGTGCTCCAACTTCCCAGCCGCCCTGGGAGAAAAGGAAGCCTCCCCCGTCCAGCAGCGGGCACTGCTTCACCGAGCACGCAGCCCGAGGAAGCAGGCCTGTGCCCGCGAGCCTGCCCCTGGCATCAAGTCGGGCGTGTCCCCCTACAGGGGGGCCTTCGACGAGAAATGCAACATACTCAAAAAAGGCTCCCCCAATTGTAGAAACAAATGCGCAAACCATATCCCCTGACATGTTTTACAAACTATTTGGGAATTTTCCCCCTGTAGAGGGACAGGCCCGACTTAACCCTGGCAGCGGCCAGCTGCAAAAAGGCGTGAGGCAGGAGGGTGGGGAGGAGGAGGAGGACGAGCCAGTGGAGCAGCAGAGTGATCCCCGACAAGAGAACTTGCACCCATCGGTCGGAAGAAGTAGGTAGAACCATGGAGTAGGAAGGCGGATAGAGTAGATTGGGTCCAGGCCCGCCCAGAGAGCAACAACACGCAGCAAAAGCATATCAATTCTTGAAGCAGGACGGCGCTTGAAGTAGATTGGGTTCTGGAATTCCAAGCAAAACAACTTTCGACGACCGATGGGTACCTCATACCGCTCATCTTCCGCCAGCCCAGGCATCCGCGCCGAGCTGGTTTCAATTCGTCCGCCCCTCCCCTTGGGGGGTCGGTTTCTCAACTCGAGCCGTCTTGGTATCGCCCCGAAGCCCGATGGCGGCCTCCAGAAGCCAAACATGGCGACAGACCCGCCATCCTCGACTTCTGTCGGACGTCTGGGCATGCGAGATCCGCCAGCTTAGGAGGCACTCTGTATCTAGTTACACGCGCGGCGTGCTCTGCCAGAGGAGGAGGAGGAGAAAGAGGAGGAGGAGGAGGGTGAGGAGTCCGAGAAGGAGGAGGAGGAGGAGGAGGAGGAGGAGGAGGAGGAGGAGGAGGAGGAAGAGAGAAGAGAGAGGAGGAGGAGGAGGAGAGAGGAGGGAGGAGGAGGAGAGGAGGAGGAGGAGGAGGAGGAGAGGGAGGAGGAGAGCAGAGAGGAGGCGAGATGAGGAGAGAGGAGGAGAGAGGAGAAGGGAGGAGGAAGCGGACAAATTAGGAGGAGGTGCTTCCGCCGAGCCGAACCTCAGCTTCTCCACGGCGAAGGCGGACAGCCGGCGGGGCGGCACCGGGCCGTCTTCATCCGCCATCGTGGCGCCTGCTGCTCGCGGCGCGCGCACGGAGCGGGGCGGCCTGAGGGGAGACACTTTTTTTTTACCAGCTCGAGAAAGTCTCCTCCTCCTCCTCCTCCTCCTCGTCCTCCTCCACCTCCTCCTCCCCCTCCCCCTCCTCCTCCACCTCCTCGTCGTCCCGCCCCGTGGCTGACGGAAGAAGAGGCCAGCAGCAGCAGGGGAGGGGCGGAGAGGGAATATAGAAGGCAGCAGCAAGAGCAAGCAGGTGCAGGCGCGGCGCGGCCGGCGCCTCCGCGCGCCCCCGCCTTGTGGGGCCCGGGGGGAGACGCGCCCCTCCTTCGAGCCGGGACCGACCGTCCTGGCACTCCTGGAGGCGCACCGCCGCGTCCTCCTGGAGCAGAGGAGCGCACCGAGGGCCAACACGAACGCTACTCCAGATTTCGTAATAAAAGGGAGGGGGTCTGGACCCTCCAAGACAAGCCATTTCAGACCCCCCCCCGTGGGAGAGCCCTCCCAAACATCGTCCCCAGACCCCCCCAGGCCCTCCAAGATAGCTTGGAAAAGACCCCCCCCCGAAATGAGACCCCCCTCCCTTTATTACGAAATCTGGAGTAGAGGCACAGGCCACGCGTGCGATCAGGCCAGGGCGGTCGCGGCAAGACCTGTCCTGAGAGCAGTTTCGCGCAAACCATTCAATGTTCTTGGGGCAATCTTCCCAGACCCCGACGCCATGAATCTTTCGGGGCGTTGATCCCCAGCGGCCTGGACCCTTCCTCCGGCCGGCCAGTCTTTCGTCCCCAGGCCTCTCCGGAGGGCCCCGAGGGCCAGTGAAGGCCCCCAGAGACCGAAACCAACAAGTTTGTGGTGGGCCTGTGAGCAGGTCGGGGCGCTTCGCCACTGCTCGGCCCCACGAGAACCCGGGGGCGACCCACGGGGCGAGGCCGTGGCCTCTGGGGCCCGGGGCGGGCGGCCAGGCAGATCGAAGGAGACAGCACGCAGCTCGAGGCGGCGGGGGGATCGTGGAGAAAGACGAGGACGACGACGACGACGACGACGACGACGACGACGACGACGACGACGACGACGACGACGACAACGACGACGATGAGGACGGCGGCGGCGACGACAACGGCGACGATAGCGGCGGCGGCTGCGGCAGCGGCTGCGGCGGCTGCGGCGGCGGCGGCGGCGACGACGACGACGACGTTGAGCTGGATGGATGGTCCCCGAGAAAAAACGGGTCAAGAGAAAGGAAGAAGGAAAATCCGGCCCCCTCGGGGGGTCGAAACCAACGACTTTCTCGAGCCGCATCCAGCCGTGGCGCGAAGGGGGGCCCTTCTCCCCCCCTTTCTGTCTGCTGGTCGAACCCTGTGCTGGGCCACCTCGGCCCCCCAGCCAGCCCCAAGCCCACTGGAATAGAAGACACACAAAGCCATAAACACAAACTGTTGGCGCTCCGCGCGGATTTCTTGGATCTGCGCTGGACCAGGGGCGGCGCCGGAGGCGCCGCCGGGGTGGGTCCAGCGGAGCGCCAACCGCTGATTTTTCCCCAATGAGTGCTTGCACTGAAAGGGTTCTAGCGGATACTGAAAGATTTGGCGAAAGTGTCTCGCCGGTTTTGGTGGCCAGCTGGGTTCCCGGGTTCCCGGTTCTGGGTTGTCGGGTTCCTGGTCATTGGTTCCAGGCCGATTCCGGTGGGTTCCGGGTCCCCGTTTCCCGGGTTCCCAGTCGATCTCCTGATATCGGTTTCTTTGTTGATCCCATTTCAAGCCATCCACTGGTTGGAGTTTTCCTATGGTGTAACTCTTCTTCGATGGAAGTCTGGGGAGGAGGAGGAGGAAAGGATGGAGTTGGAGGAGGAGGAGGAGGAGGAGGAGGAGTGAGCCTGCGAGGAGGAAAAGAAGGGCCTCAAGGGGGCCCACAAGAGCGTCCGAGCGGGCCCCTGGTGCTCCGACGAGGGCCCCCCCCCCGCCGCCCTCCAGGCAGGCCGCCCTCTCCTCGCAGCACTGGGGGGCCTCCTAGATGCGGTCGGTGGGGGGTGGGAGGATCGCGCCGCATCGCCGATGCATCGGCGATGCATCGGCGACGTCGACGTGAAGCACATCGGGCTCTACATCGAGCCGCCGCGTCGCCGATGCATCGGCGACGCGGCGCGATCCTCCGAGCCCAGCTGCTCCGAACCCCCTCGGGGAGGCCAAGAACCACGTCCTCGTGCGAGCCGCCAACTTCTGAGAAGGGGTCGAGGGCGTCCGAGAACGACGAACATATGTTGCATCCTCGGGAGGCCCTATCCGCCTCGAATCCGTGTCGGATCCGCGTCGGATCCACGCCGAATTAGCGTCGAGTCCGCATCGAGCCCGCGTCGGCCACAAGAGAAGACACCAGTTTGGGGGACGAGCGAAGTCCTCCGAAGATGCAGCGCAACGAAAGAGAGAACGCGACTGTCGGTTCTCGCCCAGTGTCGGCCGATGGGGGCCCTTGCGGAACCCTGGGGCCACCACAGAACTCACGGCGAAGAGCCGGTTCCTTGCAGGGGGTCCCGACCTCTGGGGAGCAGAAGCTGCGAAGAAAACGAGCACGACGATGGAGGTCTGGCTCTCAGGATCCCCTCCGAGAGCGATCTTGTAGGCAAACGCATGTGAACTGTACTCCAGATTTCGTAATAAAGGGGAGGGGGTCTGGACCCTCCAAGACAAACCATTTCAGACCTCTCCCGTGGGAGAACCCTCCAAAACATCGTCCCCAGACCCCCCAGGCCCTCCAAGATAGCCTGGAAGAGACCCCCCACCGAAATGAGACCCCCCTCCCTTTATTCCGAAATCTGGAGTACACCTGCAGGTCAGATTTCTGAAAAACCGGCCAGGGTTTAGAACTGGAAGCATGTCTGCGGCGGACCAGCGACGAACCCCAGCGGGGGTGCCCGGCACCCCAGCGTCGACAGGACCCGCAGGGGGTAGGGCTCGCGAGCGGTCGCAGGTAAGTGGTACGATGGGGCTGCGCATGGGGAAACCAAAAGGCACCGATACCGCTATCCCCTCGGACCTCTGCCGGGGTGCGTTCTGACGCGCGAGAGTTATGATGTTCCAGCCTACTTTAGCCTTGACCGCCAGAAAGAATTTCGAGCACCGATCGAGCGGCGGCATCGTGAGGCGAAGTGCACGAAGGGGCCCTGACACACACACACACACACACACACACACACACACACACACACACACACACACACACACACACACACACACGCACACACACACACACACACACAAAGAAGGACTCACAAATGAAAGAATTCCCACTAGTTTCCCATCTTTCCTGGGTTTGGGTCTCCCCCCCCACGTCCCATAGCTTCCCATCGATTTGGGGGAATCGACGATCCATTGTGTCTGTGCGTGTGTTTTTTTCCTCCTGCGCACACGGCTCAGACGAGCGCGTTCAGGAGCTCGAGGCGAACCCCGCGGTGGCAGCGAGGGGCCCCCGAGGGGGCCGCAGCGGCGGGGGAGAGGACGGCCGACGGGTCACGCGACGTCCGCGTGCCCTGCCCCTCCTCCGACGGCTCGCTCGCGCGGAGGGCGGCAGGCCGGCAGGGGCCCGGCGGAGGGGGCCAAAGGGACACGCACACAGAACCGGACGCGGGCCCCAGGATTCCCCTCCCCCCCCCCCATGCAGTCGGACTTGATTGGAGAGGACACGCGAGAGGGCACAAGACCCTTCCGAGGGCCACCTCACCATAGGGGTGTGAGAGAGGGCGCGTGTCGCGAGGCACAGGACACAAAGGGCACCTTTGAGCTGGCAGGGTCGACCTGCTACTCCGGGCCGACTGTAGTCGCCCGTCTTCTGGATGCTCGTCTTCTCCCCCCCCCCACTTCCCGTCTTCCCCCCCAAATGCTTTCTCCTCGGGGCCGACCATGGCTCCCCAGACGCGCGACGTCCTGATCTTTTCAGGATGGCGCCCATGCAAGCCCCGACCCTTTCCCCAGGACCGGTCTTTCGTCCTGAGTCGTTTTTTTAGACGGTCCCGAGGCCCGGCGGGGGCTCCCAAGGGCCGAAAATAGTAAGAACCTTGCCGTCCCAATTGTCCTACGACGCGATCATGTCTGGGTCGTGTCTGCGTGCGTTTTTGCCTTGCCGACGAGCTTCTCGTCAAGCGCACGCTGGGATTCTGCAACACTCTTTTTGGCGAGGGCGGGCATGTGCTGGTTGGTAGTGGGCAGGGTCTTCCCGGCAAATTTCACCGAGGTGCCACAGGTGCTGGTACCAGGGCACTCCCACACGTCGGTGTGGGTCTTCATCGACCCCCACCCACACCAAATGTCCCCACTCTGAGGTGTATGCATTACGAAGCAAGACAAGTGGAGGGCACTCATGGGCAGGCCTGGGACGCGGCGGGCGGCGCCGCCGACCTGCCTGCCGTGCGCGGGGAGGGGGGCCTTATGAGGCAACTACTGGGAGGTCTTCTTCGGAAGGCTTAAGGAAGACTAGGCCCCAATTGGGGGGCTGTTGCGCCGGGTGGGCCTCGGATTAAGCGGGATGAAGTCAGATTAAGCGGGATTGCAGTCGGACTTGACTGGAGAGGACACGCGAGAGGACACAAGACCCTTCCGAAAGCCACCTCGCCATAGGAGTGTAAGAGAAGGCACGTGTCGCGAGGCACAGGACACAAGGGCACCCTTGAGCTGGCAGGGTCGACCCACGACTCCGGGCCGACTGTAACGAGCAGGATTGAGCCGGGCTGGACGGGATCGGGCCGGCTCAAGCCCGATGTCGGACCAGGGCGCAATCAGAATTTTTGACCTCCCAGGAGCTGCCCCCGGAGGGGCCGGTCTCTTAGGGCGACGCAATCTATACATATCCACTGCTCCCTGGCCAGGGCCGTCCTGAACACAGCAGCTGTGTATATACGCCACACCCTCCTGGCTTGGCCAGGAGGGCGTATACACAGCTCCTGGGTTCAGGATGGGCCTGGCCAGGGAGCAGTGGATATGTATAGATTGCGTCCCCCTCGCGGGCGGGGGGAGGGGGCCGCCCTCCAGGGCCCCGAGCCAGAGCGGCCTGCCGCGCAGCGCGGGCGGGCGGGCGGCGGGGCGGGAGCGGCGCCCGAGCAGGTGCTGTGGGCGGGTGCGGAGGCCCAGACCGCAGGGAGGGCACCGTTAGTGCTCACACCACTTCAGACCTCCTCTCTCCTCCTCCTCCTCCCTCCTCTTCCTCCTCCTCCTCCTCCTCCTCCTCCTCCTTCTCCTCCTCCTCCTCCTCCTCTCCTCCTCTCCTCCTCCTCCTCCCTCCTCCTCCTCCTCCCTCCTCCTCCTCCTCCTCCCTCCTCCTCCCTCCTCCTCCTCCTCCTCCTCCTCCTCCTCCTCCTCCTCCTCCTCCTCCTCCTCCTCCACCCTCCTCGCAACCCTCACACTGGACACACTAACAGTCCAATCATTGAATGTTCAATGTGTTTAAAATGAAGGAGAATGTCTAAACATGTTTTGAAACACGTTTAAAGCATGCTTAAGACATGCTTAAAACATGTATTAGGCATCTGGAAATTATTTGGCAACATGCTTCCTCTCCATTGATCGTCATCCACAACCTGGGCGAGAGCATGGCGGCAATCTGTTCGCTGGTTTCGGCCTCTGGGGGCCCGTGCCAGCCCCAAGGGCCGTCAAGAAAGGACTCGGGATGAGAAACCAGTCCCGCGGGAACAGGTCCAGACCGCGCGGGGTCCACGTCATGAAAACTGTATGACGTCGGGGGTCTGGGGAGGGAGAGGGTTTGACTCGGCGTCGAGCGCGAGGGGGGCAAATGGGATGAAGAAGGGCTTCTCGGAAGGCGGCGGGGCTTCTCATTAGCCCTCGCGACTTCTGGGAAGTTATCGGCGTTTTCAGGGGAACCTTAGAAACTTCTGAGAAGGCCCGGCAACGTACGCATCCCGCTACCCTTCCATCGTTTTCCCCCTTTTGGGCCTCCTGGTGTGCCCTCGTTTTCACTGCAGGATTCGCCTCGTAATCCTTTTCAGAATGCACCCGGGGAGAGGTCTGGGGAGTAGCGAAATTGCTACCTTTTGCTTTTCCACTTGACCGTGAGGAAGGATTGACGGTCTATCGGATTCCATCTCTATATATAGGCGACCCTCGCTTGGGTGTGTGTGTGTGTGTGTGTATTGTGTCGGTGTGTATACGACGCTTTTGGTGCGGGATGCCCAATCCATATTGATGTACGCGACCCTGGAGTCCTCTCGGCCGAGCTGGTGTGCGGTTCAGAGGCCCGCCTACGTAGCCGTCAAGTCGAAAGAGGGAGTGTTCGGACCAAAACCACTCTCGGGTCATAAAAGAAAGACACGACCGGGGGCTTTTCGCTTGGTTCGGCCTCGGGAAGTCCTCACTGGCCCTCGGTGTCGTCAAAAACGCCCTGGGATGAAGACCAGTCCCGGGGACGTCGGGGGTCTGTGGAGGGAGCGGGAGAGGGCTTGACCGTGAGGGAGTATGGACAGTCTGTCGGATTCCATCCCTAGGCGACCCTCGCTCGAGAGTGTGCCAGTGTCCGACGCTTCTGTGCGCAATTCCAATCCGCATACGTAAGCGAACCTCTTGGTCAAGCTGGTGTGCGATTCAGAAGCACGCCGGCATAGACGCCCAGTCAAACGGAAGCGCGGATGGGGATCGCGAGGGCTTCCCTCCTCCTCCTCCTCCTCCTCCTCCTCCTCCTCCTCCTCCTCTTCCTCCTCCTCCTCTCCTCCTCTTCCTCCGCCCTATCCCCTCCCTCCCCTCTCCTCCTCTCCTCCTCCTCCTCCTCCTCCGCTCCTGCTCCTGCTCCTGACTCTGCTCCTGCTCTCTCCTCTCCTCTCCTCCTCCTCCTCTTCCTCCTCCTCTCCTCCCCCTCCTCTCCTCCGCCTCCTCCTCCTCATCCTCCTCCTCCTCCTCTCCCCTCCTCCTCCGCCTCCTCTCCTCTCTCCTCCTTCCTCCCCTCCTACCCCTCCTCCTCCTCCTCCCCCTCCTCCCCTCCTCCTCCTCCTCCTCCTCCTCCTCCTCCTTCCTTCCTCCTCCTCCTCTCCTCCTCCTCTCCTCCTGTTCCTGATCCTGCTTCCTGCTCTCCCTCCTCCTCCTCCCCCCTCTCTCTCCTCCTCCTCCTCCCCCTCCCCCTCACCCTCCCTCTCCTCCTCCTCCTCCGCCCGTTCCTCCTCCTCCTGCTCCTCTTCCTTCTCCTTCTCCTCCTCCTCCTCATCCTCTTTCTCCTCCTGCTTACCCTCCTCCTCCTCCTCCTCTCCTCCTCCTCCTCCTCCTCCTCCTCCTCCTCCTCCTCCTCATCCTGCCCCCGGGGCCGTGACAAACGACCTGGAATGAAAGACTTGTCCCGGGGAATGGGTCGAGTCTTCCGGGGGCCCACGTCTTGATGTTATATGTATGTCATGATGTATATGTATATATATATATAGAAATACATACATAGACCATGAAATATAGATATGTCATGATGTATAGATTCGCCCACTAGGGGATCGACAGCGACACTCACGGGGGTCAGCCGGGAAAGGACAGGTGGGGGAATCGGAATCGGAATCGGAACAGACGCGAAGCGTCACAAAGCAATATACTCCTTCGGCCTCAAGCCCCTGTACAAACGATCGAGAATCTCGCGCCTCTTGGGCGTGAGGTTAGCAGTGGTACAAGGCTGCCCCAGGTCCCCAAGCTGATCGGACCCAAAGCGAGAACACACACACACACACACGACAAAACCAATAACAACTGCTAACATGATACATGCTAACAAGAACCACGCGACAGGTGGGGGAAGGAGGGGGAGAGGGACAGGGGGGGAAGCCCCGCGTCCCACTCGCGACTTTGGAAAACATGGGCCCCAGCTGCGATTGCACATCGCCGACTTCGCGCAACTGATGCCCCGCCACGCGCACGCGAAACGAAGCAAAGAGGAAACCGAATTCCTGGGGGGGCACTCCGTCGTCACCCCTCGAGCTCTGATACGGCAAGGGCATTGGATAAGAACCGTTGGATCGGGAATCCAGGGTCTGGAAGCCGGTGGAACTCCAACCGTGGATTGGCAATGGCTATCACCACCGCCCTCAATAGGTAAGGAATGCTCCAGGGTCTGAAGCCACCTGGGCAACGAACGACCGCCCCCACCGTAGTTGATGTAGAATATGTCGACCTCGATTCGATCACTCTTGCATGCGCCTCCTTTTCTCCATTGTCGCTGGACGTTCGGTGATGCATCTCCGCTCGACTAGACGCATGCAGATCGAAGACCACGTCTCCTCTCGTGCATCCTTCGGCTACAGGTAGCTAAGTACAAACCAAGCCGGCCCAACTTTGTTCCCCAATCAGTGCTTGCACTGAAAGCGGAAACTGAAAAATTTGGCGAACATGTCCCGCCGATTGTGGTGGCTGGGGTTCCCGGCTCCGGGCTGCGCGGGTTCCTGGTTGTTGGTTGCGGGCTGATTTCGGTGGGTTCCGGGTTCCCGGGTCCCGGACAAGCCATCCATTCATCCATTGATTGGGGTTTTTCTCTTGTGTAACGTAGGGAAACGAACTCTATACACCGACGCTTTTTCCGACCCTGCGCTGAAATTCGCACAGGAACGCGGATCTTGGTGTATACGGGATCCTGGTGTATACATTGTGCGTTGCTTCCCTTGGAAAACGGGGGAAAAATATACACCACACCACCCCGACGTCGTTCCCGACCCTCAAAATGTCGTGGGATTGAAAAAACAACCCGCCACTGGTAATGTATATGTTCCAGCTTCCGATAACATTCGCTGAGTGCGGTGCAGCTCGGGCAAATATCGTGCTGCCCCGCTCGGATCCCCCTCTGCCCATGTGCCCGCCCGTCCTTGCCGCCACCGTACCGTGCCCCCTATGTCACATTGAAGGGGACCCAAGGACACACAAATAAATACCTACACACAAATAACGGGATGCCCCGATATTTTCCCATGGTTTCTGGATTTCTGTCTTCCCCCCCACTTCCATTTTTTCATGTTTTCTTGGGAATCGACGATTCATTGTGTCTGTGTGTGTTTTTCCCTCCTGACACATTGAGGCGTGGTAGAATACTAGTGCGCTGAGCTTTCTTCTGGGATGTTTGTTATTTTTCCTTCCGGGAAGACCGTTTTGGCAGCCACGGGTTTGCCAGCCTTCGCCCGGCTTCTGAGCAGCCTTTCGGCGGTGGACAAACGTCCCTTTAGTAAACCTCCTCTTCGTGAAAACGGCCTGGGACCGAAATCGACGGACCTAGACCCGCAAGCATGACGGCCGCGACGCCCTCTCGCGAGCCGAAAACGGCCACTTCCTTAATCGACGTGTCAGGGTAGGAGGTCTATCCACCTCCGAGTCTTCTGAGAAGCCCCTCCACCCCGGCGTGTTGCAGAATGTTGCGTGCACCGCCCTCCCTCCCGCGGCCACGATCCCTGCTAGAAAGCCAAGGGGGCCGCGTTCCCGAGGCCACGATCCCTTGGAGAAGGCAGGGCGGCCCGCGCTTCCGAGCCTCAAAGACGGCCGAGACAGGCAACCGCTGCCGCCAAGCTTCCCCCAAGGTGCCCCCCCAGGACGGAGGAGGGACTCCAGTAGGGCCCCAGGAAGCCACAAAAACTCTGCGCACTGATCTTCCACATGATTCTTGTTGGATCGTCGCATTCTCGCCTTCTCGGGCGTCAGGCAGCTCAGGACGGCACAGAACGCCCGCAATACGGCCTCAAGACGGCCTAAGAAGCTTCCAAGATGGTCCCAAGACGGTCCAGGAGGACCCCATGATGGCCCAAGAGGGCCTCAATATGAGTAAAAATAATTATCCCGGCAAAGCAACCTAACAGCGATGTGTAGAAGCATATCTGAAAGCATTCCCCTTAAGATTCAGACGAAAATCCAGTTGTCGAATTCTGCTGTTCTCGCAGTCGTAGTAGCATTCGCGATGACAGTCGCAGCGGCAACGGCAGTCGCAGTCACAGCCTCAGCCTCAGCCTGCCTCCTCCTCCTCCTGCTCTTTCTCCTGCTCCTCCTCCTCCTCCTCCTCCTCCTCTTCCTCCTGCTCGTCCTCGTTCTCGTCCTCCTC